TACATATTTGGAGTCTCTTCTATGCGAGACGACTAAATTTGCCTAGTTGCGTTATAATACTAGTCCTAAATATCTATAGATTTTATAGTTAACCTACCTATAAAAGATAATAGCAAACCTTAGTACCTATTAGTTATTACTAATAGATTATCTAAATATATTTAGCTTAAAGTAATAGTCTCTATAGTAGCTAATTATTATACAAGGATCTTCTAGGATAACTAGTAGTAGTTCTAGGGCTTCCTATCCTCTATTATTACTAACTAGGGCTCTAACTAGTTAGGATCTTTCTAGACAATGTTGTGCTAGATAACAAAGATAAACTAGTTACTATCTACTGCATACTACCCTTAGATAGATAGCAGGACAGAGCAGGTAAACTAAGAAGTGTAGGTGGTGCTGCGTATAATAGTATGCTTTAAGCAGACTAACTAGCCTAACTACCTACTAGCCTACTAACTTATACTTAATAATAGGGACTCTAGTATAACTAGTATTAGCCTAAATCTACTTTTAAATAGGTATACTATAGACACGCTATAAAAGTTAATATTACTACTAGTAAAGCCTAAGAATCCTTATAGAGAGGCTATAGCGTTCTTGTTATACCTATAGAGGGGTGTAGAGCTAGCGTAAGCTACTATTATATTCTAATAGCAATAATAATAGGAAGTAATAAACTAGTCCTAATACCTAGCTAAAAAGTTCCTAAAAGGTAATATAGTTTAGTTTATAATACGTAATATAAAGATAAACTAACTAAGTAAAAAGTTTAACTAGCTATAGGTAAAGTATAAAGTAATAGAAGTCCCTACTTTACTTATAGTAGTATTAGACTTACTAGGGAACTTATATAAGACTGTGTATATAGATCTGCTAGAGAGAGCTACTAATAGCCTACTACTAAGCTAGAAGCTTTAGGACTTATAACTAGGCCTAATAGTTACTCTAGAAAATAAAGACGCAATACTAGATAATTAGGAAGTAGAAGAGATCCTTTATATAAAGAATATAAGAGGAAAAGGGAAGTATTAAGTCCTAGTAAAATAGAAGGGGTATATTAATCTAATATAGCACCTGCTAGAGGTAGTGTAGGATACTAAGGCTCTAGATAGGTTTAAGGAATAGTATAGGGATATTACGTATAATAATAGCCTAATATATATAAAAGCTAGGAAGTAAGGGTAGAAGATAACTAGAATAATAACTTAGACCTTTGTTATAATTGTATTAGAGATATCTTTTATTTATCCTTATAATACTCTACGTAAGTGCCCTACTACTAAAGCTTTATAAGGTAGCTAATAATTAGGTAGTAGTATCTATACTATTACTATCTATAACTAACCCCCCCCTAGCTCCCCCTAAACTATTGTTTATATTATTCTAACGCCTCTACGTCTCTTAGTAATAGTAGTGACGCTTGCGCGCAGCGTAGGTAGGGGAGGACTTAGTTAATAAGTATAAGCAATAGTAGTAGTAGTAGCAGGAGGAGGGTAGTGCTTTAATAGTTTACTAATATATAGCACCCTAGGCCTAAAGAAAGTAAATATGCGAATATATATAAAGGGAACAAAGGGAAATTAATACTAATAATAAGAGTCTTAATACTATAGGTAGTGCGCTTAGTAGCGCTCTTAAGCTTATTAATATAAAGGTTAGTTTAGGCCTAGGTCTTGTTTATACGCTAGTTAATACGCTAGAAGGTAACACTAGTAGTAGTAGCAAGCTATATAATATTGTTGTTACTATAACTACTACGTAAAGGCGTAATAGTAGACTAAAGTAGAAATACTAGAGCACTAGTAGTAGATAGAATAATAGCACTAAGCTAATACTAATTATAGGCGCGTGAGTAGGTAGTAGGGGCAAGTAGAGTAATAGCGTTATTAGTTTAAGCCCTTAATATAAGATCCTTAAAATAATAGTAGAGCTAGTAGAACTATAGTATAAACTAGTAATAGGTACCTTTAGTAGGTTTCCCTATAAAGGTGCTAAGGGTCCCCTTCTTTATAATATAAAGGCGATCCTCCTAGTAACTATAATAAAACTAAAGCTAGTTATAAAGGGCTTAGCAAATATTAGGGTTATTAGTAAGGATAGCTTCTAATTAAGTATAGGTCTTATAGCTATAATAGTAGGACTCGCATAAGCGCCCTAGATATAGTTAGAACTTACTATAG